GAGAGAGCTGGGTCGCACACACTGTCTCTCTCTCTCTCTCTCTCTCTCTCTCTCTCTCTCTCTCTCTCTCTCTCTAATAAAAAAAACTAGACAGATTTTAGATTGCTGATCTGCTGATGAAAGCATGTTCTGTTTGAAATTATACAGTTTTAAGGCTCAATGACAAATGCATGGGAAGTGAGTTTTCCATCGTTAACTTGTGACTGGCTAGAATGAAGGGTGTGGGGGGGGTCATTCGTACAGAAAGAAAATTCCCTGCACAGAGAAACCCAGAAGTCAAAGAGATGGGTTCTAGCTTCCCCTCTCAATTGAGATATCACATTTTACTCTTGCTCCTCCTTCATAGGTCTCAGGGCGCGATCCCTAGATCCTCTCTTCTAAGTTTTAGTTAAACAAAAGACCCATGAACAGTTTAGGCTGGGAGAAATGTACTTGTCCAGTGCCGTCCAGTGTGCACATGTGAACTCCGGTCTCCCCATCTCCGGCCCAACATTCTTATCCATTTCACCATAACCAGTGCTCTCTAAGCTGTGGAGTCTTGTGAGCAAACATTCTGCTTTGTGAGCATTAAAACTGTGAGCGAGCGATTTGGCTGCTGCATAAATTAGTGTGCGCTGGAGCCATCCTACCTGCACTAGGACAAAAACGTGTGAGCCGGAGGCTAAAAAAAACCCTGTGAACTAGCTCACACTCACTCAGCTTAGAGGGAACACTGACCATAACTGCTCAAGCACCTTCTCCCTAAAAGGATAATCCACTCCACTGTTCCCTCTAAGCTGAGTTAGTGTGAGCTAGCTCACAGTTTTTTTAGCCTCTGGCTCACACATTTTTGTCTCCGCTCAGGAAGGAGGGCTCCAGAGCAAACTAATTTATGCAGTAGCCAAATCGCCGGCTCACAACATTAATGCTGGTAGCTCACAGAGTAGCATTCTTGCTCACAAGACTCCACAGCTTAGAGGGAACATTGATCCACTCCCCCTCTAATCATGGGATCTTTTTGCCTGCAAAAGAAGAGAATTCTATCATAACTTTCAGGCTGCAATGGTCCAACAAAGACACTGTTTTGGCCACCCGCAGTGACAGTGAAGCCAAAGAGGTCCCTCTGTTTACCCCCCCTCCCCTGTCGGTTGCCTGTTGTTCCTCTTTCTCTCTGAGCCTTTAGCAAAGGACGCGTATGCCAATAAGGGTTATTCTCCGGTTGCTTTTTAAGGTTCACCTCAAGAGACGCCAACATGAACTGCTGCGGTGGAGGAGGAGGATGCAGGCTTATCCTGATCAACAACGGCGGCGGTGGCGGCGGCGGCTGCGACTGCGACTGCAACTGTGGCGGCGGTAACAACAACGACGGAATGAGAGTGATCTGCATCCCCAATTCGTGCTGCGGTGGGTGTTGTCAACCAAGTTGTCAACCCATGGTCTACTGCTGCGGAGGAAACAACCGGGGCGGCTGCTGCGGCTAAGCAATCCAGCAAGTCCCCAGTGTCCAAACCTAAAAGTCGACGCCTCCTCGGAGATCTGTGGAAGATCCGGATGGTCCTTTCCCGCTGAGGATGTTGTGGTGCTCTCTCCCTCGTCTTCTTGAAGTGCTCACACTTCATCTTCCCTTCCCTGCCCAGAGATCATGTTCAGCACATAAGTCTCTGAGAACATAAAAGCAAGCATCCACCGTTTGAGGACGACGTGTTCTTTCTCACCATCTAACGACTAATGTGTTCATCTTCTGGGAACGGAAGTTCTTCCAGAATTGCTTTTCCTACTGTACTGTCATTGCTCTGGGGACAATAAACCTTGCAAGCATGGACATTTCCTGTGTTCTGGTATTCATTGTATAATAACAACAGGCCCATAGCTACAGGGGGCATCTCGGGGCTAGGCCCCCTGACTTAATGGCCAGGCCCCACGACTTCCCATCCAGCCCAGGGCCCCCAAGTGGAGGCAGGTGTGGGGAATGAGCCAGGTATTCCTTTAATACGACTAGCCAGTGCCCCCTGAGAAATTTAAATGCCCCCAAACTTTAAAAATCCTGGCTACGGGCCTGAATAACAAACACCTTCATAGCTTCATTTCCATTCGAACGTTTTCATATGATGTTGTCTTTTTACCAATTCAGACGGTTGGTCCTTCCAACTCAGTGTCTATCTTCGCTGCAGAAGCTCTCAGAGCCGAAAGGTCTTTTCCAGAATTTGTTACCTGAGATCCTTTTAAATGGAGATGCTAGGGAGCCAGTTTGGTGTAGTGGTTGAGTGCGTGGACTCTAATCTGGGAGAACCGGGTTTGATTCCCCACTCCTCCACTTGCAGCTGCTGGATGACCTTGGGCAAGCCGTAGTTCTGTCAGAGGTGTTCTTGAAAGGGCAGTTCTGGATAGAGCTCTCTCAGCCCCACCTACCTCACAGAAGGGGAAGAGAAAGGAGGAGGAGAGAACAGAGTGTGTAAGCCACTCTGGGACTCCAAGCGAAGGTGGGGTATAAATCCAATCTCTTTTTCTTCTTTTAATTGCCAACTCAGACTGTAACCAAACAGATAATGATCTGTAGTCAGGCAGACATGAAACAGGCTTCAAGGTTAGCTAGCTTGGAATGCTCGAACTAAACCTTCCATTATACAATTGGGACAATTTCCCCCCCCCGGCTGAGGGTGAAACCCAACAGAAATTTTCCTCCATCAGTTGCTGAGGTCCTTGTTTTCTTGACCAGAAATGTTTCCGCTTGGCCCGTCTCACCTCGAAAGCCATTTTGTTGGGGCTGAGGAAAAACGTGTTGTGGTTCTTGGCCACAACTTCCTTTTCCTTGGTCCCAACAAGGAACAGTGCCCTCTAATTCTGTAAAACCAAAAAGAAGTCCAGTCTGGGAAGACTGAAGAGCCTTGGAGTGCTGGAATAGGTGGGATGGAGTCAGCCTATCTTCAGATTTCCAAAACTCAGGATCACTCTTCTGCATTAACCGAATCTCAGACTTGAGGCTCCTGTGGTTCTTCCACATCAACGAAACTTGTTCTCAAGCACCGGATGTGCTTCTCCTCTTTAAGGTCCTCCCAATCAGTTCTCCCATGTCTTCCACTGCTGATTGGTCCATTTCTAGCTCCACAAATTGCTCCATATGTCCATGAATTCATTGTGACCGGACTGAGCTAAGACAAGCTAGGATTGCGGGCAATGAAGGATTTGGAAGGCGTTGGAAACCAAAGTCTGGGGAAGAAGATTTGTTGACAAGACCAGGGCCAAACAGGCCAAGGGAACCAGGCAGGTTTTGGTAATTATATCAGGCCAGGCCATTGCAGAGGCCTCATGCTCTCTATTTAGGGTTGCCAGACTCCCCCTCCCCCTGAAGGCAGGGGTCACCCGCTGCCCAGCCACACCTCCCCACCACCGATCAGCTGGCTGGCAGGGGAAGCTCACCTAGAAAGGAGATTGTAAGCCGCTCTGAGACTCCAAGTGAAGGGCGGGGTATAAATCCAATCTCCTCCTCCTCCTCCTCCTCCTCCTCCTCCTCCTCCTCTTCTTCTTCTTTCATTAATTCGTTCATTCATTCATTCATTCAAGCTCATAGATGGAAGGGGAAACCAGAGTAATCTAATCCAGCCTCCTAACTTCACAGTAACTACAACTGTATTATCCTTGAAAAGTAGGTATACAGTCGATACTTAGAAACCTCCAATGACAAAGAATTCATCATCTCTAGAGGGAGACCTTTGCGGTGATAAACCTACCTCACTGTCAGAATTTTTCCCCTGACTTTCCTTCCCATTGAGGTAGCAGTTAGCTCCTTCAGTGTTCTCTGTGGAACAGGTCTATTGTAGGTGGTTTTCTGCAAGTGCTTCTTTTGCACAGCCTTGTGGGAGACACAGTGCCCCCACGAATCATTTAATAGCCTGACCCCAACCATCCATGACTGTGTTGGAGGGGAATTGATTTCGCCTGGTGTGTAGATGCATGGGCAGCCTTCAAGGCAAAGGAAGGTGAAGCTGGAAGACAACAGCTTCTGCAAGCTGTGGACCTGTTTGATGTCTGCTCAAAGACTGCAACTTCCCAAGCTTGTATGCTTCTCCCTTTGGAATTCTATTCTGTGCTATTTTCCTACATATTACCTACTTGAGATTGAAGGTGACAGAGAAGCTGGGAGAAGTGAGAAGCTTTCACATGAAAGACTAGAGGTGCATGTCTGTTGATCAAAAACAACAAAGTTGTTGTATGGACAGCTTCAAGAGGGAGTTAGATAACCATATGGAGCAGAAGTCGATCAGTGGCTATTAGCCACAAGGTATAGATAGGAACTCTCAGTCCGGGGCAAGTGATGCTCTGTATTCTTGGTGCTTGGAGGGGGGGCAAGAGTGGGAGGGCTTCTAGTGTCCTGGCCCCACTGCTGGACCTCCTGATGGCAGCTTGTATTTATGGCCACTGTGTGACACAGAGTGTTGGACTGGATGGGCCATTGGCCTGATCCAACATTGGGGTCTCATATGTTCTTATGAGATCTCCAGGTCCCCCCTTAGGGTTAACAAACCTTAGGTCCAGGCAGGGGTCATTTCCTGCAGGAGCGCACAGGATCGGAGCTCCGGCAGTAAAGAGCCCAGGGGGCGGGCACATGCAACAAGCCCCATCCCCTGCTCCCAGCAGCCCTCAGTCAGAGCAAGAAGCAGCCAGGTAAGTTGCAGAGCCCCCCTGGCCCCTTGGTCCAAAACAGTCCAGTGGCACCTTTAAGACCAAGTTTTATTCAGGTACAAGCTCTCCCTCCTCTGCGAGGACAGATCTGCACGTTACCCCCCCCCCAATAGCTAGCAATCCAAAAAAGTCCAGTGGAGCCTGAGCAGTGGATGTTGCCTTCTGACACACTTCCGGTGATGTCAGGGCTGTGTGGCATATGCAAATAAGTTATGCTAATGAGTTATGCTAATGAGCTCCTGCATTTCTTTTTCTACGAAATGACCCCTGCTCGCTTGTAAACACAGTGTCTAACAGGAGGCATACTGGACTGCTCTGGAGTAATGTATGTTTCTCAGCTGCCATCCTGTTTTGTTTAACTGATCTTTAATTATAGATTCATTGTGTTTTATTCATGTTTTGAGCCATCCTGAGCCCATTGTGAGATATATTGTAAGATGTCTTGATCTCCATAAAAAGATGGCTAATAAATGTTTCAAATAAATAAATAAATAAATAAATAAATACACGGGTGTCTTTTGTTGCCTCAAAAATGGAGGTGTGAGTACTCTTGGGGAATTCTACAGTTACTCTGAGTATTGCCCAATTTGGATGGGAAACCATGAAGATACAGACCTGAGAAGAGGGCGAGCTGTCTTCCATTGAAACCAACGGGAGAGAATTCCAAAAGAGAATTACGAAAGCGAAACAACGTTCACGGAAGAAACAAGAATGAAACAAAAAACTGGTGAAACAACCCAACAACATAGTCCCTTTTTGAATTAATAATGCAAACAAAATGGACTCCCATGGACAAGTGCATCATTTTTGTTGCTGCTGTTCAGTCGCACAGTCGAGTCCGACTCTTCACAACCCCATGGACCACACCACGCCTGGCCCTCTTCTCTATCGCCATCCTCTGAAGTTTGCTCAGTTTCATGTTAGTTGCATCGATAACACTGTTTAACCATCTCATCCTTTGCCTCCGCCTTCTTCTTTGACCTTCAGTTTTCCCCAGCATCAGGGTCTTCTCCAGTGAGTGCTCCCTTCTCATTGGGTGGCCAAAGTATTTGAGCTTCAGCTTCAGTATCTGTCAGTACATCATAATAGGGATGAGTTTCGGTGACTCCTGCTGTTTTGACCCCCAGCCCCTTCTTCTTATTTTGCTTTACCCTGATGCAAATTGAGCCTGTGATTCTTTATTAATGTGATCCTGTCCTTCACACAATGGATGTCTGTCCTGCCCAAAATGAACACTTCCCTCCCCATCCGTGTTGGTTGATTTAAGGATCTAGAATAACAAGTTCCTGGCTTCAAGCTCCACTTATATCCCTTCTGGCCTCAATTATCCTTGTCTGCCCAGTCAAACTGTGCCAAGAGATGTTAAGCATTGCCTCCCTCTCCCAGCTAGGCTCACCATCCAAGCACTGACAACGGGTGAGATATTTAGGGGGGCAAGGACAGAGCCGGTTTGGTGTAGTGGTTAAGAGCGCGGACTCTGATCTGGGAGAACCAGGTTTGATTCCCCACTCGTTAGCCTAAGCCTCCTCTTGCCGTGTGAAGGACGGTACCCTAGCTACGTTAGGGCCAAAGCTGGCAAAGGGCAAGTATAGCCCTCTCTTTGTGCAGTGCCAGCTAGCCCAGCCATGTACTCAGGACCATCTCTCTCTGACGCATCCAGGCATCGGTTGAGATACAGCAGGCACATGTCTGTCCTCGTGAAAGGACAATGTCTTAATTTCATCCTCTCGAGGGTGTCAGCAGACCTGCATTCCAGTCAGGCCCTTAGCTACAGTGGGGCATTTCGGGGCCTGGCCCCCTGACTTCCTGCCAAGGCCCCCTCACTTCCATACAGCCCCCAGGCCCCCAGCTCTCTGGACCTCCCAGAGGACTCCCAACTCTCTGGGCCACCTGGAGGACGCCCCACCACCGCCCCTTCCCCAAGCGTGGCTTGCTTCCACGTTTATGTAAGCAGAGCGCGAAGGTCGCACAAGTGAGTTTTCAAATTTTTATTTTGTGACATCAGTGCCCCTCGACATATTTAAAGGCCCCCTGAATGACAAAATCCTGGCTATGGGCTTGATTCCAGTGCTACGTCTCACAATCCAACCTCCGGACTTTGCCCCTCGATACTGGGTCCACCCGTGCCACAGCCTATTGTCATAATTGTTCTCTTGATAGCCCAGCCATTAATGGAGCCAAAACTCTGCAACTGCCCGACACCTTACTAACAAAGGCTTCCCTTCCCAACCCTGTACTTCTTTTTTCCGAAACCCCCTTTAAGAACATAAGAGATGCCAATGTTGGATCAGGCCAAAGGCCCATCCAATCCAACACTCTGTATCACACAGTGGCCAGAAATAACAGTGCCATCAGGAGGTCCACCAGTGGGGCCAGGACATTAGAAACCCTCCCACTGTTGACCCCCCCCAAGCACCAAGAATACAGAGCATCACTTGCCCCAGAGTCCCTATCTATACCTTGTGGCTAATAGCCACTGATGGACCTCTGCTCCATATGCTTATCTAATTCCCTTTTGAAGCCGTCCATGCTTGCAGCCGCCACCACTTCCTGTGGCAGTAAATTCCATGTGTTTATCACTCTTTGGGTGAAGAAGTACTTCCTTTTATCCGTTCTAACCCGACCGCTCAGTAATTTCATGGAGTGCCCACGAGTTCTTGTATTGTGAGAAAGGGAGAAAAGTACCTCTTTCTCTACCTGCTCTTTCCCATGCATAATCTTATAAACCTCAATCATGTCACCCCTCAGTCGTCGTTTCTCCAAGCTAAAGAGCCCTAAGCGCCTTAACCTTTCCCCATAGGGAAACTGTTCCAACCCCTTTATCATTCGAGTTGCCCTTTTCTGCACTTTTTCCAAAGCTATAATATCCTTTTTAAGGTGTGGTGACCAGAACTGCACACAGTATTCCTAATGAGGTTG